ATTGCGAAAAATTCTCTGTGCCAATACTTTTGTCCGGCACTGTATGTATCAGGGCTGCTAACGATTAACTCGTTTCATTTGCTTTGGTAATTGGTTGGAATAATTTTTAATTGGAACTTTTGATACTATTTTTTTATTTTAATTTTTGTATAGAAATAAAAAATTTTTAAATCAAGTCCGACTAAAATCTTGGGGAACTGAAAGAACATTTTTTCGTAACCTTCGTTTTTCTTTCGACAACCTCCAACCGTTTCGATATCGTTTGTTTCCGCCCATGACAAAACTCATGACTATTGTCTTAACTACTCGCCTAAAACTATGCCGCAAAAACTTGATTTTAATAGTGGGACTATTTTTAACATAGAATTTGTGGGGAGAAGCTGGTCAGAAGAAAATCAGCTAAAATACTTTTAGGCTAAACGCTTTAGCTTCGTCTCGTTCGTAGTGAGAATTTTTCGAACATTTTTGCTAAAACGTTTACTTCGATTCCTAGAGGATAGTAATGAGATTACATTAGTATTATTAATTCTGGCTGGGTGGCTGATTGATTAGAGGGGCGTGCCACCACTCCTGGTCCGCGAGTTGTGAATAACGTTGTGTACTTAGGATCCAGCACTAATACTGAATAACAATAAAAAAGGAGAGTAACTTTTGCCAACAGGCGCCCTCTTTCGGTGAATAAAAATCACGGTCTACAAATCTCTCATCTAGCCCCGCATTTTATGCTTTGCAGAAACATGTACAATGTCGAACAAAAGTAAGAAGGCTTTGGGACTTTCGAGAAAATTATTCTACGCAAGATCTTTGGCCCTGTTTGCATGGGTGATGAATACAAAAAAAAAAAGATTGAAAGACGAATTGTATGTAGATAGATTAAAAATACAATGCTTGCGGCGGCATGGGAATGTTTTACGTATGGTTTTTTGACGCTTTGGTGAAAAGACCCTTCGACTCCGCGCCCATGGGCCCATGAATAAGGCTTGTGTCTAAAAATATGCAGTGCCTCCAGGCAAACATAACATATCCATAATGCTAACGACTTTATAGTTAACCCCTTCCGCTTTCACGTTGCATATTTTTAGGCGGCCCATACATATGTGATTTCTAGAAACACACTGCTGTACAAATTTACAAATCATGTGATCCGTGCTTAGAGCAGATTAGTGAATAAGGATGTAAATCTCCGACTGGTTTTTCAGCTCACGTTTTTCATATATATTCCAAGTACAATTTTGGGGCTTTTATTTGACTGGAAGTGAAGTTATGGCGTCAGTACAACCAAAAATTGCTCAAAATTCAACATCAGGGCCAGGGATAGATGTTTTTTTATTGATTATTATTCAAATGAAAAATAAAACTTTATTCATAATTTTTCTGTTTGAATGTCGAATAAATTTGTATTCTTCATTCAAGTAATTTCGAATGACGAATACACTTTTTTATTTACTCGTTATTTGAAGTTATTCGATTGTGAATGAAAATTTATTCGTCATTCGAAATTACATGATTTAAAAATAAATTTTTATTCTTCGAAATTACTTGAATGATGATGAAAATTTAGTCTTATTTTTTTCAATTACTCATTTGCCTGATTACGGCCATCCCTGATCAGGACATCATTAAAGAGCCGGAAAATACCAAAACTTCCTCAATTAAATTGTGACTGGTACGAAATGTGGGGTTTTCAATACTGTGGGGTAGTAAATGCTGAGCCTGAATCGGGGCATCCGTTATCGCATGAAATTCGATTCAAATTTTCACTTTCAGGTAACAGAACGCAATCACGAGTCCGCTTTTTCAACACAAATTGTATTGAAGAGAAACGAGCTATTTCATTCGGTACTCAACGAGTAATCAATCATTCGATCACGGCCCTGATTTCTCTCCACGGGCGCAACGGTATTATTCACAAAGAATTCGAACCAATAGGTTAATGCACAATTCCATCTTGACATTTCGGAGCGTTTGGTGCAACGTTTTCATCATGTTCGGCCTCCAATAATGCGAAGAGGGAATTCCCATGCTTGTTGCAAGCATTGTCGATCAAATTTTGTTCTTATTTTTTTACTTAAAATTATTCAGCAACAAAGTAGAAGGTTTTTCAAAAATCTAGACATACATAGTTACACTCTAAAAAGTCAGCAAATAAGAAATAGTCCCACTAATGAATTTCGAAACTTTTAACATCAGTAAATTTAATAGAAAAAACCACATAACAAACGAGTTACTCGCCTTCTACTCCACTCTGGGGACTTACGGCCTACTTAGAACATACATATGACTTCACATTCTGCTAATTTTTGTTTTAACATTTATTTTATTAAAGGTTATTCATAGTTTTCTTTATGAATCAAATACATTATCTCTTTTGGTTATGCATATTAATTTTAATTATATTGTTTGCTGTTTTTTTTCCTCATATAATTTCTTTTTAAAAATTTCAACTTACTGCTCGCATTCGAGCCTCCTCACCTCACCGTCTTCGTATTCTAAAAATGCAATTTCTTTTATATCTTATATGGTATCATTAGATCAATATATATGTTTGCGTTACTATTATCTAAACATACAGTAAAATTGAAGCATTTTTAGAAGTATATCTTTCATTTACTGCTTGAAGAACCAACCAACAAAAGCTACTTGGCCAACCACGCTTGTTTGGTTATTTTTAATTCTCATTTATTATTTTTTATTTATTTATTATCGCTATGCTAGTTACTTATGTATTTTTTATTTTCAATTTTTCATATACCAGCAAAATTTTCAATACAACATTTTTATTACTTTTTTAATTTTGTAATATTTACTTGCCACATTGCCAACTTATTGCTTCTAGGCTGCTGCAAAAACTTGTTAACGATATTCTTGCCGCTGCATTTCTTAAGAAACTACATATAATTTTTGTGACAAAATCGTTGCAAAAATACACAACTCATATTTTAGCTCAGCAGCTTGGTGAGCAATTAAGGTTGCATGGAATTAAAAAAAAATATATATATACTTGTAAAAAATTTTCAACTTAAAGCAAAATTCAATGCTAGACTAAATTTTTAACTCTATTTGATTTGCTTGTAAATATGTATAAACAAAAAGAAAAAAAAAACATTTGGTTTTAATATTTAAAAAAATTCGTACATTTCATTATAAATGGTTTTCTTTCTTTTCACAATTAAAATTATTTATTTGCTTGTACATTTATGTATACATAAATATATATATATATGTATATATGTAAAATCTAACAAACATTTGCAATAAATCGAATGGTGTACACATACAGATAAGAAATGGATTTATTAAATTTATGAATACTTGATTTTTTCTTCTTTTTTTTATGCATAAAATTCAAATGTGATGTTTTTTTCTAAAAGAAAGAAAAATATGTGAGTACCTACTACATACATCATTAATGAGACATGCACTCACTAACCAACTCATTAAAAAAAACCTAACAAATACAGTCTCATTTTACATATGCACATATAATATTTTATTTTTTATTTTATTTTTATTTTTTAGTAACACTTCAATATAAAACTAACTAAAATACTTGAGATATTATCGAACATTTTTCGAGTATCTACTAAATATGTGTATGTATTGTATGTTTGCATGTGTCTATGGGGGCGCTGGAATGAAGAATGCATAATGGCTGTGTTTTGTTTTTGTTTTTTAGTTTACGTTTTTGTCTCATGTATCTGGTGTTTTTCTTCTTTCATTTTTAAATTTAATTTGTTCTACATATGTATGTAAGAATGTCTGTTTAATTATATAGCACACGCTTTTCGGTTTTTGAAACCAGCATTTTTATGCGCAATCAAGAAATTGTTTTTATAGTTTGCTTTCACTATTTTGAGTTTAATTTTTTTTATTCGCTAATATGCTTCGTTTTTTTGATTGTTTGTTTATATTTTTGAAGAAGTAGAAAATGTGTGTGTGTGTGTGGCCTGTGGCATGTGGAATTTTCCGAGTTTTCAAAGATCAAAGAAAAAAGAGAAAATTGCCCCAAAAATAACTATCAGCATGGATGCAGTGCGCGCCATCGCGCACCGCAGCTACTATTGCCACACACGCCGTAGAGTATTGTTGCTGCACAACACACCCCTTCTGTGGGACCATTTCTCCACTTCAGCGTCATTGCATGCATCGCCAATGCCATCTCCTCCTTCTTCTCCGCCTCCTCCAGCTCTGCTAGCCACGCTGCGGAGTGTTGTTGCTGCTATTTTTTATATGTTTTCTTGTTGCTTTATTTTATTCTAAGTGCTGCTTATGGCGCTGTTGTCTATTTATTTATTTGTTGTTTCTGTTGTGGTTGTTGTTTTTGCTATAGACATTTTAAAAATGTATCTCAATCTGTATTACTTAGTCTTGCTCCGTAGCACCCGGATAATAATATGGCGGTGGGCGTTCATACTCGGATGCAGGTGGTGCCATTGGGGGATTTTGGTATCTCGGTGGGCCGCCATCCCAATGTCTGCAAGCAAGTAAAGGTGAAATTTATAAAAAAAAATATATACATATACTATTTAGGTACATATATTTCATGCTTTTTTATACAAATGAGAGTGTAAAGCAAGAAAATGGAGCATAAACAAATGATGTGGCCACATTGGTAGCGTAAGTGGTAATAGCAAATGCTGCTAGAATGTATTTGTTGAACAAACATGAATATTTATGTTGTGAAGCTCTTTTGGGGCAAACTTACAAAGTTTTGTTAATACAAGTGCGTACATAAAAGAAATTTAACACTTTAAAATCTTTTTTTATAGAAATTTCATGTATGGCAATGATGGTGGTGGTAATGATGAGGACGATGAAGTTCGCAGACAGGTGAATATTATGCTGGTGCAGTAGAAAACAAAATTTATAAAACTAGGCAGAGAAGAACTCTCACGTTAAAAGAGCAAAGAGTGATTGAACATACTTTTTAGTTAAAGAAAAAAATTTTAATTCTAACCTAGAAAAGGTAATAATGAAATAAGAGTTAATCGGCCTTATGGCAAATTCCACTTGATCAAATATTCCGAAAAATTATAAAGCAAACCCAAACAACAGCTCTTACCAATTAGTTTTTGTTTGGCATATTAAATTATGGGAACTATTTATTCACATGGAATTAGCGATAAGGCTAAAAAAGCGGTTTAGACTCAAAAGTTGGTTAAAAGACGGAGTAAACACAACAGGTAAACCTGAAAATTCTTTAGCTGAAAACAATTTTTCAAATACTGGTTTCTCCACAAAGATTTTAGGGCACAATGTCTTTTATGGCGGAGTGCAGTGCAGTAATTTTCAGTTACCGGAATTTTCAGTTATCGGAAAGAAGTCTTCGCAGACGAAAGATGTGCGCGAAGAACATAAGAGTCTACAGAAAAAAGGTTGGTTCTCCTAAAACGATGTAACATTTTTTTATTTATTTTTTTCATCACTTATTATTTATGTTTTATTTTCATCAAAAAATTTAGGCATTTTTGAAATCTCCAGAAGAGATTTTGGGGTGATGCATCAAGCGAGTTGAGCATTTGGCACTTTTTTTTAATCATTGTCCACCACAGCAAAACCACGCAGTATTAGCTAAACCATAGCCGTAAATATCCATTGAGAAACCGCCGGCAAAAAGCCCCATGTGCAGCCCAGCATCCTTTTACATGCAAACACTACCGCAGAGACTTTCTTTAACTGCTTCTCCACATTGCGTTTCCACTAATGTGTGCCATCCCAAGGTACTTTGTGCTTAGTTTTGAGGCAATTTAGGTCAGTGCCAGACTCAAATCCTTCATTTCCTAGTAAATAGTACTCACGACAGTCTGCTCCTCGTTAAAGCTTCCCAGAAGATAATTTACGTAGGCCTTCTTAAGTAAAGCCATTCTGGGAGGCCTACCTAAGAAGTGCTGAAAAAAGTGCTTCCTTGCATGCTTTCTAGAAGGGCTTATCCAATTACAATTTACACGAATGCATAAATTTGTATTATTTGGCATTACAAACGAATTTTAATAAACATTTTAAGTGGCAATAACACATATTTGATATAAACCTAAAGCAAATACTTCAAAGATGTATAATTTTTATAAATTAAAGAAGAAACTTTAAAAGAACTCCTTCAAAAGGCCTTGTGAAGTACGTCCTATAAAAGCCCTTCGGAAGGCCTTCCATGGGTAGTGAAAGAAGAAGAAAGAAGAGAAGTGCCACTCCATATATACAAGAAAGGAGAAAGGAATGTAGAGTGGAAGGCCTCTTAACTCTCAGGAAGGCCTTTTAGAAGGGCTTTTAACTCCTGAAATTATCTACTGGGTTAGTCTGACAAGGCCGTAGAGACATTTACGGAGAAACAAACACTTGGAGCCGCTATAAGTCGAAAAGACCCATACATTAAGAGGCTAAACGTTTTAAACAAAATAGTATTGACGCCGAAATGCGACAAAACCTCCGTTACATGGTATATATTCAGATTTAATGAATATGGCGAACTTTTTGTCTAATCTCTTAGAGGGGAAGTCTTGGTCTGTATTCAAGTCTTTTAATGACGGAATCATAATATTGTATAAGAAACAAGCTCCTTCGACTAAAACCTTGATAATGTTACTAATATTCCAACTCAAGTTGTTTTCAACATAACTTGATTCTTTGCCAGCAACCGCTTCCAAATATTTATATGTAGAAGTTGGAGGCATCTTTTTTATTTTTCCATAAAAAGCATCGATGTCGGGACCCGGAGACATTTCTCAAGGATATGCCCGAATTTCACCAAACATGCTCGTTGCGTTTTCTACTACATTCCGCACGGTTAACGTCATCAAAGTCAACAGCTCACACCTAAACTAACCTAACCTAGAATAAGTATTTGTAGCTTAAAAAATCATCGGAGGAAGTCATTTGACTTAACCCAATATTGGTACATTTAGGTCACACTAAAATGGGCAAAACACCCTACGAGTATTTAAACATTTTTTACGCGAATTAAAATCTTAATTTATAATAAAAACGTACATACAGATAACTTATTCCTTGGTTTAAAGTGCAGAATCAGCATGGCTTGGAGTACAACATTAATATTTACAGGTAGTCAGTCACACACATTAAAAATGAAAAAATGTTTAATAGAAGCAAATGTGAGACCCCATAAGTGTTAGTAGCAGCGCAAAGAAAAGAAAAGCGTAAAGGTTAGAGTTTTAACGAAGCATATTGATTGGGACGCTCGTGTGAGTACGAAATAATGAGAACAACGCACCACAGCACTAACACCACCATAAACATCATCATCATCATCATCATCATCATCATCATCATCATCGCTTATCACCATCATCACCGTAGTCAACATGTTAACCTAATAGAAACCATCGCCCGTCAATGATCTTGGCCTCGTTTCAACGGAACCAACAATACACTTAGGTCTAAGAAAATTAAGACAAAAATTAAGAGAAAAAAATATATATTTGCGAAATAAAAATTAGAAAAAATTAAAGCATTCAAAATATTATTTAAAATACAATGCAATAATTAAGCGTATAAGAAAAGTGGAAGGCAATTAATAATAGTAAATTGGCATTTAAATTGCATTTGAGTCAACATTATATAAGTATGTAGCAGTAGGCGAGTAAATAGCAGCAATATTATTGATAAGTATTTTAATTGTATGGCCGTTGAATTTACAATTACATTTACGCAAAACAAGGGTTTCGATTGAAAAAGAGCAGTTATGGAAAAAAAATGTATGTATGTAAATAGTTACTTACTTGGGTGCCATGTCGTTGTAGCGAGTGTCACGCACACCAACAGTTGGTGGCACACCATGCGCCGTGGAAGCGATGGGTTCCTCATAGTATTCACGACCGCGACGTCGGTCTTTATTCTTTCGTCGCTTGTTCTTTGGCCCACTATAAAAATTTAAATTGAAAGTGTATAGTTGCTTGGAACATAAATTAGGAAAATTGTATTTTTCTGGAAAGTAAAATAAACGGCAAAAGCTTGAAACTGAAGACGTGAAAGTGTAAATGCAAACATATTTGCAAAATAATAATAATAATAATAGCGGCATTAAAAAAATCGACTAATTAGTTTAAATAATGGCTAAAAGCGATAATCGTTTAGATTGAATTGTATTATTAATAAGTGTAAATAAACCAACGTATGATAGCGTGATTCCTAAACTCTAATTGTATCAACTTCACATTGCAAAATATATAGACTTCCAGATTCAGCGAAGTTTATGGCACCGTCGCAATTTTTCTCAGACAGCCTATTAGGAACAAGGAACACAGGCTCTGACATATTGCCTCTAGCTTATTGCCAAATATAGACTATTTGATTGTCCAAGCCCCAGTTATAGGGGGAGGAGCATAGCAGAATATAGTAGAATGATCTACAAGACTCACAGCTGTTTTTATGGCGCTCCGGGCACTGGGTTCTCAAACTGCCAGACTGAATTTTGAATGCAATAGGAAATTGAGCTCGAGTGAATGTAAATATCAAAATGACAAAGAAACGATGTGGATAACGATATCGCTTTCAAACAGTAACAGTGATATACATAAATATCGATAACAGAAATTGACCTTGATAAACGCCTTTGGGTAACACAAAATCTTTTTGAGTATCCGGCGGAAGATGCTTCATCGGTATAATTCTAAGTGTCCCTCTCATGCTAATCATATGTTAGGGTGTTAGGTTAATCAACATTCTTCAGTCAATAAGCACCAGGTACAACCCAGCACTCTTTATCGCGCATAATGCGCCACCTAAAATTTTTTGGCCACTCCACCACAATGAGTGGGTACGGCAGTAATATGCTTCATCTAGAGTCGCTCCACCTACATACATACGTACATATGTAGCTTAGGTCTTGACCATTTCGGAATGTGCGTGGCTGCTAAACCTTACTATGTATGTACATATTGATAATCATTAATAAAAATATCAAACTCAGTATTAAGAAATTTTTCGATAACAATATCGATAATTTATCCATTTAAATCACGAAAATTTATCAATTTCAATCTCGAAAATTTATCAATTTTAATCCCGAAAGTTTATTGACGATATTTACAAAATGTATCGATTTTAAGAAAATTTCTCCGTTTTATTCCTTAAAATTTATCGATTCTAATTCCGAAAATTTATCTATTTTAATCTGGAAAATTTATCGATTTCAATCTCGATAGTTTATCGATTTTAATCAAAAAATGTATCGATTTCAATCCAATATTTTATTTTAATCTCGAAAATTTATGGATTTTAATCTCGAAAATTTATGGATTTTAATCTCGAAAATATAGATTTTAATTTCGAAAATTTATCGTTTTTAATCTCGAAAATTTATCGATTTTAATCGCGAAAATGTAACGGGTTTAATCTCGACAATTTATCGATTTTAATCTCGAAAATGTAGCGGCTTTCATCTCGATAATTTATCGTTTTCAATCCCGAAAATTTATCGATTACAACCACATAAATTTAGCGACTAGAGATGCGTACTAACACTCCGTAGGACCAGGGTTGAAGTGTATTTCTGCCTTGAAAGCTTCTCATAAAATTAATTTTCCGTTAGGAAGCGGCGTAAAACTTTAGGTCTCTGCATTTATGCAACAACATCAAGTCGAAAACAACAGCGCCAAAATATTTTTATTATTAACCTCGGAAACTCAATAACCTTCGGAAATGCAATCTAGAATATTTATAGATTAAAATCTCGCATTTACCACGCTTTATCCAATAATCGATAACGCACTCAAAAAATAAAATTTTGCGATGGAATCAAGGAATTTTACACACAACTTCGTGCTAAGAGTTTTTATAAGCCAACCTGAGCCCTGAAAAAATGTTGCCTACGCGTCCTGTTTTAATTCACTTAAAAAGCAATGTTTTCAAAAAAAACACCTGTAAAAACTACTCTATAAGCTAACTGTACCTGTATGTAAATATCTGAAAACAAGTGTGCAACTTGTAACTTGCTGTCAGTAATATCACTGCATTATATACGAGAAACAAGCAAAGCATGATAAGAAACTTAGAAAAAAAACAATAGCAAATACAGAACAAAAAGCACGTAACTAAATATGCAAGTATTAAAAATAATGTGAATGTCAATAAAATGTTAAATATTTGAAACGTTTCACTTACTTTGCCAATGGAATGTGATCACGTTCACTATATGCGTCATACAAATACTCCCTGAAAATTGGTAGTTGCAAAATTTAATCATACATAGGACAAAAAACATTGTGACAAAAGCAGCATGCAAAATGATAAATAGATATGAATACATGTAGTACATATGCATACGTGGAATAAAATCAATGCACAAATAAAGTTAAATGCGTAATGTTTTCATTAATAGAAAAAGAATTAAATTAGTACAAGGCAATTCTCTTTTTCAGTTAACATTTTAGAGGGGCGAGGGGTTAGATTACTTTAATTGCCAAAAATTGGTGGTTTCTAAATTCGAAAGTAAGAATATTTCCTACAATTCTTTTTTTTTTTGTTTTTGTTAAAAATAGAATTCCATTGAAAACCTGGAACCAAGGCACATTAAACATGTAGTATCAGTCGAGCAAAAACAACATTTGCGTGTATTTTGTTGTTGCTTCTGGTATCAAAAGTGTCAAAAACTGTTCTGAATTTTTTCTTCTAAATCAAAGCGTGCCATTTGAAATACAAAAAATTATAAAAAATAAAAAATTGAAATTTGAAAAAATAAAAATTGATGCAACTTTCTTTCCTAGTAAATTTGTTTGCTTCTCGAAGCATTGATCCATCCTTTGCAAGGCCCAGTAATCAGCGGTCGTGCTGCCGAGTTGGGCGAACGTTCCAAAAGCTGCTATTCAATCGCTTATTTTGTATGGAAAAAGGTTTCACAAGCAAATGGATAATTTTCGTGAGAAAAAATTAAAAATATTTGACATTTTCGAGACCATATAATTTGAAAATATGTCAAATCAGCAGCTCTACTGATACTACCTGTTCAATGTACCTTGCCTGGAACTCAAAAAATGTTGCATACAAATTTTGACAGTACAGAAAAAGTTTCTCAAGTAACTTTTAAAATTTATTTGACGGGCCGATACAGTTTAGAGTCTACTTAAAAGACGGCCCTTAGCTACTTTTCAGTTTAAGGGAATAATTGAATATCTTTGGCCTCTACGACATAGCTTGTTAATAGAAGGTGTAAATTGCATAAAAATATGTTTCTTTATTACGCTAATAAACTACACAAAAAATGCGAAAGTCTTATTTTCTGAAAGTTAGTAAAATATCTACCAAATAAAAAACAAAATTTCAGTAAAAAATATACTCATATTATTAAAATGTTTATACAAAAATATCATAAACAAAATATTAGTTGCGCTACGGGATTAGGTAGGTAAGTTTCCACTTACGATTCGACTAGTGGACCAGGATATGGATCTGACTTCTGGTACAAGCTTGCCAATTTGACCGCGACCATCAAGGTGGGCAAAAAGAGCACAACACACAATGCGGCGCCAGCCCAGAAACCATTCTTAAAAGAAGCAAAAATTTCATTTATTTACAACATATTCGAAAATTTCAATAGCACGCTACTACTTACCAATGGATTAACAACAGAACTACACAGTGCAACTATACCAGAGTCGTAGACATTAGCTAACGGCGCACATAAGCCAATTTTCCGCTCGACTGCCTGCACGACCATTCTCAAATAATTCTCTATTTCACTTGCAAAGTAGTGTGTCAAATTTTCTGCGGTTGCCCTAACAAACTGACGTCCATCTACGCGGAAGAACGTCTGCGCACGTTCAATCTCATTGACCAGCAACGGTATGGATTCGTGGAATGGATGATCCTTATAGCGTAGGCTATGATCCAAATCATCTGCTAGCCGTATAAGTTCCACTGATTGATTTTTCATTGGTATCGCCAAATTGTGTTCGTATGTCTCCAAATGTAAAGCCTGATTACGCAAACTAACTCGTACATCTTTCATATCATCGCTATTTTCGATTTTATTTGCTGTCTGGCTTAATTGTTGAGCAATTTCCGTTAATGAATATTTGGTTATTGTATCGTTAAGATTATCAATATATTGTGCAGAATCAAAGTTCTTCAATGCTGATTCGCCGAGGCTCAGTATGCGTTGTTTATCCTCTGGACTTAGTATGAGCACATCGCTGTCGTCAAAAGAAATACCAGCAACTAAATCATCTAAGGTTTGATTGATCTTATACTGAGCTGGGTAATCATTTATTTCATGTATATCGATGCGATTATGTATATGCAACACTTCGTAAATGGTTTGATTACGCTGACAGGCGGTGATCACATGAGATATGCGTAAAGGTGGTAAACCACCTGAAGTCAACTTGCCCTTATTTTGTGGCGGATAAAGCACATTATTCAAGTCAATAGAGTTGTCAAGTTGAGCGAATATTTCATCGTTTTGAGGGTCCCTGGAAAAAAAAAATACATTTCAAATATCACTTTCGATAGTCTCGCGAAAGTACAACACTTACTTTAATGGAAGACATAAGCCACGGTAGGCGATTAGACCGATCAAAAAGTGAGCCAGCGCTACTAAAGCAATCAATGAAATGAATAGGAAAATCAGTGCTACAGCCCTGTGGATAGATAGAGGATCATTAGTAGCCCATTTTTGTATTGAAAAGATTCGCCGCAATGCTTACATCATCAAGAAACGCGAACCAGAGCCTTTATTACAGCAATCGTCACCATAACCGTCTGGGCGTTTGCCACATATGCCACACAGCAATGCAGCTACTAAGCAAACCAAGATCTGTGAATGAAAGAAAGCGAATTTGTAGTAAAATCCTTCTTTCATAAATAGCTAGTGGAAGATTAAATTACCAGCAATAGTATAGAGCAAACTGCTATGCCGAAATAAAATCTATACGGTCCATATTCATCCAAATAATCATCCGCAACACCAGTGTACTTTTTAGTATTGTCTTTTATAACAAGCGACAATTTGTTAAGTTCCATTTTGATTTCATTTGAGGCGTGTTGGAAAGCATTGCCTATAATGAGAAAAAACGTTGTAATAACTTAAGTAAGTGGTTTTGGAAAAGTGTAGAATTTTGCACGGTTTTTTTCTTGTCCTTTTTTGTGTTTAAAAAATCAAACCATCTCATTCACTCACCTGCTTTATTTATAGATTTAATAACTTCTGGTGTATATTTTCCAATTGTTTCATTGAGATGCGCTCGCATTTGACTGAGCATATCACGTCCACGCTTGCCAGCCGAAGCTATGTCCTTACTTATCAAATTATCTAAATTTTCGATAATTTTTGTAACATCCGGCAGCTAAGAGGAATGAAATTATTGTTTAATAAATTACCTACATGTACGTTAATACATATAAATATTTAATGCAATGAGCTTGATTTTTATTAAAATTCGTTACCTTTGGAAAATATCGGTCTACCATCTGATAGCATTAAAAAGACAAATTTATAGGTTTAGAAAATGTTTGCCAAGAAAACTGCCTACACAAACGCAAAATTCAATTTTATAAATACTGAAATCCAATCAATTTCGCCAATATAATTGATCGTGTTTTTAATAAAAATATGGTTTTTTTAATAGAACAACCAAACGCCAAAGAATTTTTTTTTTTTAATTGTACATGATATAGCATTACTTAGCGATAGATATTGATCTAAATATAAAATTAACAGTAAAATTAAAAATAGTCTAGTTTAATGAAATTAAAATTTGTTTGAAATAAGAAAGGAGAATCCCACAGAAAACAATCCCAATAAGTTCGAAAAATCCCTAATAAGTTGCGAATCATTTTTTGTATTTTATTGTTTCAGGTTTAAAAACAATTTGCTTAAATTAACGATTATTTTCTGCCCAAAAAAGTTTGCTGAATTGGAGCTCCAAAAATATTGTTCTTCAATCAGCTGCCCGCGGTTGTGGTCATTATTGACATTAACCTTTGTGATGCCACGTGATTTGGAACGGTAATCAATCGATGAAAGGCCAGGAAAATTAGGAAGGTGGCTAATATCAATATCCGAAAGTTCTTCAGGGTTGGTTATAAAAGTATGAGCCAAGTTACTTTAATCTTATCCTCGCAAGAGCTTAGAACCACTCAAATAGGGAGAGCTGCTTTGGCCGCCACCGATCCACCCTGGGCCAAACATGCCATTTCGCCAATTCATCAGCTCTGCAGTTTTTCGCAATGGTACCATAACGTGGCGCACATATAACTCTAATTGGAATAAATTCCGACGCAATTGGGAGTTTTGCGTGCAAAATCAACAGGCACACATTTAGCATGGCGGTAAGCACCAGTGCACTGCCGTGTAGGAGTGGGTCCAGGATGCAACAACTAATACCAACCACAACAGTCGGGCCTACGTAACCGGAACGACCCAGATTTAAATTTGGCCAAGGACTGTGGCTCCAGCATCACTACCCAAAAACTCTTAGGGGAATTCGTTCGCTGTTAAAACAACAACAACAACAACCAATTAGAGCAGCTCGTTGTACGCGTTCTAGTGAAGCTCTCCCTAGCGATTTTCATCTTTTGACTATGACTCCCCGCTCCCAATATAAGGCAACTTATGAATTACTCTCTTTCCTTAAGGTTTGGTTTCCACAATAGTTTCCTATCTCCGATTAGACCTTGGTACATAACAATGACTGAACTAGTTGTTTTTGGGATCTCGTATTTACTAGTGAATAAAACCAATTCCGTCAGCTCGCTGTTAAGCGCCAATTTAGTCTGGATACGTAGGTAAACTTGGGTCGCATCTTATAGGGTGTACAGAAATGTACACTTAATCATACCAGGCAATACCCCGCCTCTCCACGAGGTTACTGTAATTGTAAATATCTTCGTAAAAGCGATACGAGAATTGTTCAACTGTATTTCAATTTTAAAATCTAGAAATAACTTTTTTACTACCTTCAGAGTCAAAAAGCCCTACTCTTTTTTTGCAAGCATATGAATGAATAACTGGAAAAAAGTTATGTGTACCGATTACTACGCTTACCTGATCATAATGTATACCGTTAGCATCAAGCTTGCCGATTTCGTATTTGTTGAGCACATCTTGGCATGCCTTATTATTACATTTTGTAAGCATTATTAGCAGATCACGTTTTACACCACGCAAACCTATTTTTTCCCCCAAAAGAGAAGATCAAAAATTTCTTTAGCATACAAAAATAAACCAATTCGCCATTTGCTACTTACCATCACTCAATTGTGAGGCATTAACGCGCAGTTCGTTGGTAATGTTTTTCATTTTTTGTAACTTTAATCTAAGCTGTGGCAGTTTTTCTAAAAAGTCTGTAAGGTAAATAAGCGAAACTGCCATGGATTTCTGTTCCAACTCTTTTATAATGAAACTGGATGTTTCTGCGGATGAAATATGTAGGCATAATTATTGTTAGTGAAAATCCGATCTATAACCATTTGCTTTGTATTTATTACCCCGCAAAATGTTGTCCAACTGTATAGACAATTGTTTGTAATTTGTAATTAAAACATGATCGATTTGCTCGGATGTAACTTCGAGGAATTTACGGGTATCAATGCTGCCATCACGTACACGATTTGTGCTATTCTCAATACCTTGTTGCATATAACTGTTTGTGGCAAATGTGACAATAACACCGAAACTAAAAACGAGTTAAGTAAGAAACGAAGAAAATTAGATGTAATTAATATGTTTGCAAAGCTTTACGGGGGAATGTAAACAGAGTTAAACACAATATGTTTCTTCCGCTGAAATGTTATATGCATGCATGTAATTTTGTGTACATTGATGAGGGTATGTGGGAATGCATGTATATACAGTGTCTCACAAAAGTATTCCTTATTTCTGAGTAAAAAAAGATTATATTTCAATCCAAAATAAAAAATATAATAATAGCATTTTTTTAATTTTGCCTAAGCGAGAGTATTCAAAAAAGCGAAACCTATTCTGATGAGATTTCTAAAAATCAAATTTTCGATATTTCCAATATGGCTCACATTCCTAAAAAAATTATGGTACTTTTCCGGAAACATGAATGCCGCTGTAGCGACAATATCTACAGAAATCTATTTATGGCAAAGAAATACCTCTACTAAAAATTACCAGATTTATATCTGGCTAAGGATTGTCACTTCAGCAACATTTCCTAAAACTGTGGGAAATTTTCATCCAAAAGCCAAACTACTTTTAATGACGCTACCTCGAAAGAGTTATAACATGTATCCTGTTACAAGTGCATTCGTTAATCGATTTTCATCGGAATTAAGTTTGCAAATGGGCATTTAACTACTTAAGATTTCATGATAAATCTGGCCAAAAAGAACGATTAAATGTCCTTAATCACATTTTAAGCCGAGATAGCTAGACACTTGGTTGCGATTTTTCATTGTAGGAGGTATGGTTTCATATCCAACGGCTTTTGGAGCAGCTGTAATTCCACAATCCAGTTCGGCTCAATCTAACCCAACTTTACGTTGGAAAAAAATTGTCCTACAGAGAGCATTTGACTATCGTGCATGGGCAAAAATTAATGTATAATATTGTTGTGAACTAGTTATTAGGCGTTGCAATCAAATTATTAAAAAATGCGAAAACTGAGAGTGAGATACACAAAAATATTCAGGCCATGAACGGCGGAGTATAATCCCATCCAGAAAGCCCATATTTCTTTTGTTGTTGTGGCACTCGACTTAACCATGCCTAATTCAGTAAATTCACTAAAAGTGTCGTCGTCGTCTAACGGCAGGCACAGGAACCGGTAGGTTTCGACGATGTTCGACCATAGGAAGAGGTGTGTTGGATGAGCTGCTTTGAGTGGGCTTATGAAGAGGTGGTTATATTGCGCGTCCCGTGGTAGTCCTACAGATCTGAAGCTTCACCCAAAGCGTCCTACAGGCCCTCGGCTACTACAGCAACATTCCTTTATTGCGGCTTTGTACTTTATCACACAAGACAGTCGGTATGCAGTATGCATTCATTGACTAATTTTTTCCCCCAAACCTTGCCCAGCGATCTAACTCTATTTAGATCTGCGAATCCCATATTTTATCTTTTTTCTTTCATAGAGTATATCACTTCGTTAGCTATAAATCGAAGCAAATTATAGAAATATTTTCGAGTGACTTTGCCAAAAAACATAAAACTCGAATACTCTTGCCAATCACTGTATGTGTTGTAAATTGTTTAGAAAGGTGTGTTACCACAAAGAAAACTGCGCTACTTACAGTAAACCTGTTGCCAATGCTATGAGCAAAAATCCCAAGAACACACGGCGGCAGGTGTCGTGTTTCTTGTCAAACGGCTCCGAGCGACCACCGCAAGCACCAGCACAGCGACAGCAACAAAAGCAGAGGCTATACAAAAAAAAAAACACACAAGCAAAAACAAAAATAATTACAGCTAAGTACATGTTTTTCTACAATTTGTTGTGCTTTTTTTTTTTTAGTTAAGTATCTTTTTCTTTTTATAAATATGCATTTTTTTCCTACCCAACAACTGGCATTGTAACAATTAGCAGTCCAACGAGCAAAACAATTAGCCATATTAGCCAATAGTGTTTAATTAAATCAATCCATTCGTTGCGTTCAACTTTCGGACCAAACTCAATATCGTTATCCTTGACCACGAGGTAGCCTAGGAAGAGAAAATGTAACGAAAATTTTTCAATTTCAATTGCAAATTAGCATATACATATTAACGAACAAGCTTTATTTAGAGCTCACCTTCTGGCAGTGGATGTTCGCCGGTGAAAAACCAAATAACTTTGTGTGTAATATCGTATAGTGGCTGCATGCCACGCGCATTATAAGCTGTGGAGCTAACGTACGTGACATTCTTTGTCCATTCTGTATACTTTGTTGGCTTGAGATTCAATTCATTGCCCAAATCGAATGCTTGAGATTGGCTGGCGAAAGTGCTAAGCGCTGCTAAGAGCGCAACAATGAGCGTGCTCCAGCAGGAGATATGGCACCGTGTATTGGTGGTGGTGGTGGTCGAGGTCGAGGTCGTGGTATGGCGGCGCTGCTTTGCTGCTGACTCACCGGAATCTATTTGCATTTTCATAGCTAGTGCATGTGTTGTTGATGTTGTTGTTTTTACTGTAGTTTCTGTTGATTTTTGGTACATTTTTGATGATTTCGTTGAAATGTTCCGTAACTTTTTGCGAGCGAAAGTGTGAAGATCCCTTCAGATCACTCTTTTCTACTACTAGATAAATAACTCTAACTAAAACATTGATGCTTTGGTGTTTTGTTTTTGTTGTATTCTTTGTTTACTACAATGAGCAATTACAAATTTTCGATGCGAATAAATCCGAGTGCTGCTGAGCTGCTAAGATGTGCTACATTTGCGTTTATTTTTTTATTTTTAATTTTTTGCTGCTGCTATTGTTGTTGTATCTCGTTTAATTTTTTATTTAGGTATTTATGTTTGTATGTGAGTGCGTGAGTAATTGAATATGAATATTGTAAATGACTGACTGACTGATTGATAGCTTATGTTGCTGTAGATTTGGCACACGAACGCTCCAATGCGCTGCGTACTTGCAGTTGCGCTTCAGCAATTAACTACAAATTGCAAATGCTGCAAAGAAAGGAATGACGAAGAAAATCTACTATTAATTAAATTTATTCATTTGATAAAATGATAAAGTAGTTAATGATAATGCTAACATATACATATGTATGTCTATACAGATAAAAAACGTATGTACTCCAAGCGCTGATGTACTACACAGCCGTTTCAAGTGTCTCTTCAAATGTAACGTGACATAATTAAGCGTAAAAAAACCACCCGCACAGGCATTGTCATATACATTTGTACGTATGTATGATGTATATTTGTAGTAAGTATACCCGTGCAATTATAAAGATGAACGAATTAATTTTTTATGAGCAATTTTTAAGCAGACATAAAATTCAAAGGAAGTTAGCACTTAACAGCCGTATTTAAAGGGCTTTATAAATGCAATTCTTTGGTATCTAAAGATACAGTAACGATGAGAAAAATACCAGTCATTAATGAATCACTGGGGCGCATAGAAGTTGTGACACCTCGCAACTAGCCTCTTCGATTCAAATGTCAACCTCTCGATGAAGGCTCCGACGATCGAGTCAGTGGCGGGAAAACCATTTTAACGCCAACTGGCTTCAGTGTTTGAGCAACGAGACAAGTTTGGAGGGGAAATCTGTATGAATTTTCTTTTATTTTACATCAGGCAGCAGCATAGCCAACAATATTTTGAGATTCAAGTTGGAAACATTAGTCAACAAAGGAAATAATAATGAATCTGCAACTCTGACGGCTATGTCACATTATCGGAATAGAAGAGTCGTGATTCCCTTGCTATTACTTTCGGAACTTCCTTAGGACCACTAAGCGGTTTTTGAAACTTCTCGGGATTTTTCGCAAATTTTGTCGTTCATTTTGACATTCTTTCTCAAGTTTTTTTTTGTGTTTCGAGACGCTTTGGGGTTTACTCAAAACACTGCGATTCTTCACATTTATATGGAACTTTTGGAAATTTTTCAGTAATTTCGAGATTTCCGGAACTTCTCGGAATTTTTTTTTGCACATTTAGATTTTTGCGAGCTTTTCTGGTTTTTTCGAAGTTTTCACACACGCATAAATATTTATACATAGGTATAGCGTAGAGTAAGCGTTTGGTGTAACTGGATACATTAGGACGTTTTCGTCGCATTTTGGGATGTTTTCGGAATCGTTTGAGATTTTTTCGCAACCTTTCGTGATTTTTCTTATTTCCTCGTACCTATTAATTTTTTGAGATTTTGCGAGAATCTCGAAATCTTCGTACCTTCTCGGGATTTTTCGAAATTTCTTTAGTACCATTTAACGTTTCTGGATTTTTCGGGACTTTTCGGAACTTTTTGGGATTTTTTTTTCGAGAATTTCCAATTTTTACAGAACTTCTCAAGATTTTGGAAATTTTTTACGGTAGCTTTCATTATTTCTTCAGTTTTTTGGGGTTTCAGATTTTTTTGAGGTTTTATTGGGATGTTTTCGGAACCTTTCATAATTTCTTTGAAAAGTTTCGAGCTCTATCGGGACTTTCTATATTTCTTCGGAACCTCTCCTGATTTTTCGTAATTGTACGGAAGGTTGTCGAGATTTTTCAGTACATTTAAACATTTTTGAGAACTTTTCAGGATTTTTCGGTATTTTTTTCAGTACATTTAAAAATTTGTGAGAACTTTTCAGGATTTTTTTTTTTTGAATCGGGAATTTTCACTTTGGCATACAAATGTTAATTTTTATTACACGTTATTTTGTATATACATAAAATAATATGAGACGAACTTTCTCTTTATTTTTGCCACAAAAACCAGAAATTATCGTATCTTTCGTGCTGGAAATATTAAAAATTTTATATTCGAAATATTAACTTAATATTGATATATTTTTAAATAATAGTTTTAGTCGCATTACATATTTTTTTACCATACATCATGGGTTGTCATTGAGCATAGAACTAAAAATGGATTAGTCGCCTTTAAACCATAAAATTTATTTTACAACCACTGAACAACAGCATTTCGTAAAGAATCCAATCCATTGGCATAGGGGATGCTGGAAATCACGTTTAGGCAAGAGAAATGCAACTTATGTAACCCTCAAGACGAGCGCGATCACGGTCTCAACTGAAGCGTTCACATTTATGAAAAGATGATAAATTAAACAACAAAAAATCACGCAGAATGTCGCTGCCGAAAGCACTGCTCAAAAAATAAAATAAAAAAACAAGCAGTGTTATTGTTATTTATCCCCCCCTGAAAACAACACCAAGCAGGGTTATTCTCCAAAATATTTGTGAAATATGTACATATGTGATTATTTTGACACATTGTACTTGCAAGCGCTTATTGAAATTAATACCAACAATTTCTACATTCTTGAAAATATTACTGGCATGCAAAAATATAGTTTAAAATTTGTATTAAATCACGTAGTGCAAACAAAAAAACAATTTGCCACATAAATATTATTTTTAAATGCGCTTGAACCCACAACTTTAACTATTAAAATTCCGAGGTAAATGAATCTTCACTCATACATTCATAGGAGATATTTTTGCACTAGTATTATTTAATATATGCAGATTGTGTATATGTATGTTTGTGCAGTTTCGTGTCATTCACATTGAAGAATGACTACTTTAAAATTGTCACCAATAAAATTACACCCTATGGTTGAACCTCATGAACCACTTAATAACCGCAAACACACAATGTGCACAGCCAAGTGCGAAAGTAGTACATTGCGATGTGGAAAGAGACCAACACGAGAATGGCCACTTTATTTCACTACATATCTATTTAGGTAGTATATATGTATACATTGTGAAGCTGGAGAAATTAGTGCACACATGTAGGTTTGTAAATCAACTGTCACAAGCTATGTATGGAGACATATAAAGGGTGTACCAATACGGGCAAACGGACAAATTAATAAAATTAAGTAAAATGAAATTACATCGTTCAAATTAAATAATATTAAATAAAGTAAAATAAAATACAAATCACCACTTAGAGTGCAAAATTGCTAAGTAAATTTTTTTTAATTTACAGGAGAGGGAAAAAACTTCTTATAACCATTTTCTTCAAGCATTTTGCAAATCCTGGAATACAAAATTCTGCGTGTTTGAAGCAAAGGAAAACTCCATACGTATCTTTATCAAAAGATTTCGTATTTTTATGGTCGGATTTTCGGCGCCTCTTGTGGACTTAATTCCACTAAAGACTATAGTAATGTGCTGAGTTTTGTCATTGGTTCGAGAATAGAGCAGTTACAATTATGCTTCCCGAATCGCATAAATCACCATCCACAAATATTTTTCAGCAATTTTCCTCATTTGTAGATACAGGCTATAGATTTAATCCCTAATGAATGTGATGTGATTTATAGAAAATTTATCGTAAACGGACGTCGGGCTAAAACAAACACACGGAGAAGATGAAAAAGTACTTGCAAGGCGATTTTTATTTTCAACGCATATACCCAGTAGATAATTTTAGGTGTTAAACGCCCTTCCGAAAGGCCTGCCTGAGAGTCAAGAGGCCTTCCACTCGACATTGCTTTCTTCTTTTTTTTTGTATGGATTGGCACAAATCGAAGGGCTCCTTCTTTCGTTACCCATGGAAGGCCTTCCAGAAGGGCTTTTATAGGACGTACTTCAGAAGGCCTTTTGGAGGAGTTCTTTTAAAGTTGCTTCTTTAATTTATAAAATTCTACATCTTTGAAGTATTTGCTTAATGCTAAATAATATAAATTTATGTATTCTCGTAAATTATAAAAGGAACAGACCTTCTAGAAGACATGCAAGGAAGCACTTTTTTCAGCCCTACTTGGGCAGGCATCTTAGGATGGCTTCACTTACCTAAGAGACCTACCTAAATTATCTTCTGGGATATTTTAACAGCCATATAAACAAACTTGCCAAGGCGAAAAGTAACAGGTCAGCTTTTAAGCGCCCCTAATGACAGCCCCTGCATTAATTCAAACACATTATGGCGGATCGTATGGAAGAAAAAGTATTATGAGTAGATATGTATTAATTATTAAACACTTTGTGAATTTTAAAAAAATGTTTCAAACACTTTCCTTTTTAACGAAGCTATGCTGATTGAAATTATGTAATTCAATTTTTAAAATCAACATTATAACAAATATGCAGCTTTATTTAGAGCATACCTTAAAGTTGTACAGACAGTACGTCGACACACGCCAACACGCATACACAGCTAAATTCAGTTGTGAGTAGATAAACACTTTTATTTATATTGTGATCAAATACGTTGATGTGCTGATGTTTCCTACAAGTACACAAGCCACACATTACAACACAGCAGATTGTGTTTATTATTATTTATTTAGTGTGCTTAGTGATAAAAGAAAAGCTTTTGTATTTACTCTCTTTTGCGTTAAGCATGAAAATGGTGGAAAATACATCAATTGTTTCCTTTCTAACTCTCGAGCAGGGTTTTATGCCAACATTTTCTGAAACACATAAGCTTAAGAAAGCTCACATACTTTTGCTCGGCAAACATTTTTACTATAATGCACCTCAGTTGTAATTAAATTTATATCTTCTTTTTTTCAGTTCCTTAAAAACTCCCTTAATTATTTGCAAACCACCACAAAGTCGTCAAAACGAAATCTTCTCGTGATTAAAAAATCCATACTTTTTTTTTAATTCTTGTTGAGCAAAGACCCCACCCTGTTTCCTCACTAAAAACGGTTTTAGCAATAAAAATTCCAAGAAAGGAGTTTCGTTGGAAGAAATACATATACATACATATGTATGTATGTATGTATGTATGTATTATGCATCTTTGTTGTGGTATAATTAAATTTAAGAAAAATAATAATAATAAAAGCTCGTTATCTACATTTTGAAGCGAAATATGAGCTCAGATGTGAACCAAACAAACGAAATAAAAAACTGATAAAAGAATAAGAAGTAATGAAGACTCTGTACACTCATACTCTTGCACTTAAATATCGCTAATTTCTTGTAGTAATTGAATCGCGTATTTCCCAGAAACCGAAATTACTCAAATATGAATTTAAAAAAAAGAAGAAAAATATGTGAGT